TCAACAAGCGATGTCACACAGCATTTATAGAATAATACAAACACTCTCGCATTCAGCAGGCATTTTTCCTTCATGTATCCATCCACTCACTGACATGTATAAAAAGTTCATCCAGCTTCACCTGGCTCTCCACATTTTGACCACAAAAACACTTCAGCATGCATTGTTCGTTGTTTGTTTGGGACACTCAGCAATATTTCAGCACTATGAAGGTGGTCTGTAAATAGTCGTGTCTGGACCAGATACTCTTCAAGTGATTGATATCATGATCATCGTTCTGCGCAAATGGGATACGATGACATGCATCAACCAATGTCTGACCACAACATCCCGTTAGTCTTCTAGCAACGACAAGCAAAAACTATGCTATTTGAAGGTACACTACAGAAGTATGTACAATTATGTAACTTTGTCTTGTCTTTTAAATAATTTCAGAATTTTCTGCTGGATCCACACATTCATATTACAATGAATCTGTCGCTCTTTCAAAATAAGGTATAGAATGTACGTACGTTACCCTTTTTTAGATAACACAGACTGCGTTATCCAATCGGATGCTTTTAAACTGTACAAAACAAATGCAAGCAAGGAACACTGGCAATGATTCTAAGGGCACCTGTCACATCCTTCTAGAGCTCCTACTTGCGTCCGGGATTCGAACCCACACTGCCAGTGTGAGGGACCTAATAGCCAGCACACAAAGTCAGCGATCTAACCCACTCAGCCACTGAGGCTTCCACAAAAATGAAAGTCCGTCTAGATCACGTACTATGTGTGTCCCTCTGACAAGTGTTTGATATACGTGTATGTGAATATCACAAACACAGTGTCAGGCAAACAATTACATGGAGATTCCAGGCAGAACACGACCTCAGTACCCGACTTGCGTGGAGGTTACAAATATATTACACATGCTTAGATTAGCAATGTTCTCATTTACCATTAACGACTTTAAATGTGATTCGTCAGTCACTTGATTCTCTGGACCTGTCAAGATCCGGGGTAGAATATGTCTTCAGCAACCCATACTTGCCGTAAAAGGCGCCTATTCTTGTCGTAAGGGGCGACTAACGGGATCGAGTGGTCAGGCTCGCTAATTTGGCTGATGTATGTCAAATCCCTGGAATGTCTGGTCTAGACTCGATTATTTACAGACTGCCGTCATATCGTTGGAATGTTGCTGAGTGGAGCGTTAAGAAACAAACAAACAAAACAAACTTGATTCTCTGGTTTGTTCACAGGTCGCCGTGGCGGTAAGGTGAGATGAGGTGAGGTGTAATGGGGTTTAACGTCGCAGATTATTGCACTTGTATAGCGACGTGCATGTACGTGTGTGTGTTTGTGTGGCTGCTTGTACTAGTCCGGACTGATGCCGGTTTATAGTGCTAGCTCACTGAGATACCATACCGCAGTTTAACATGAATACCCCACTCAGACATAGTATACTGACTCCGAGCCGACCAGCCCTTGTTTTAGCCCCTTAATGCCGAGCGCCAGACAGGGTAACAACAAGTATCATCTTTTAACGTCTTTTGGTATGACGCGGCCGGGGATCGAACCCCAGACCTTCCGCTCTCCGGGCGGACGCTCTACCACTAGACCACGGAGGCGGTCTGGTCGCGGTGGCAGGAGTACTGATGTGCAGCTTCAGGCAACAAAATTTTGATGCAAACTGTGTGAGAAGCTGGTGCTACCGGTAGAGCAGGACCCTTGTCGCGAACACCTGGTGTCATCACCGATCTTTAGTGATCCATTCATATCGTTTTCACAGCTAGTTTGACTTAACGCCCAATGTAAACAGTTGCGGCGGATAATAGAGACTGGAAATGACGATTTATGTATCTATATTTGTCATATTCAAATACAAATGAAGCTGTATCGCAGATGCACGTATTTGAGCGAGTTTGGACAAGAGGAACCAGAGACTTCTACCATGAGAAACGCTAAACATCCTCTCCGTGGGCTAGTGTGGATAGAGCATCTGCCCGGAGAGCGGAAGGTCGGTGGTTCGATCCCCGGCCATGTCATACCAAAAGACGTTGAAAGATACGTGGCACTCGGGGGCCAAAACAAGGAGTTGGTGTAAGGAGTAAAAACGTGCATGCTCGTCGCTAAAGAAGTGAAATAATCTTCCATCTTAATCCCTAAAGGCTCTCAAAATGTGCAAGTGCTTCAAACTACAGTAAACTACGGTTATAACGAACTTAAAGGGACCACTAGTTTTAGTTCGTTTTAACCGTAGTTCGTTATAAGCATATATACAGCATAAGTACAGCAAATAGTCGGGACTAAAAAGTTAGTTCGTTATATCCGTCAGTTCGTTATAAGCGTGTTCGTTATAACCGTAGTTTACTGTACTGGTGAATACAAGAACAATATATCAAAGTGATCACTAGTGTACCCTTGTTGGGAAACATCAATGTTCTTCTAAACATGTGTGTTCATTGCCAGATAGCAAGACTTTAGATATAGGATCCGATCTGTTGATTATGACGTCACGACAGAACTCACTTTCGTTGTCATATGCTCCTAATAAAGCTGCACGTAATCGTTTAAACTTAGTGTCCCTCAATACAGATTAAACATTATTTCCCAATGTTTAATTAACAAAATGATGAAAATTAGTATAAACTTTTCTTTCTTTTTTTCTTTTGTGTTGTTTAACGCCGCACTCGGCAATATTCCAGCTATATGACGGCGGTCTGTAAATAATCGAGTCTGGACCAGACAATCCAGTGATTGATATCATGAGCATCGATCGACGCAATTGGGATCGATGACCGTGCATCAACCAAGTCAGTGAGCCTGACCACCCGATCCCGTTAGTCGCCTTTTACGACAAGCATAGTCGCCTTTTACGACAAGCATGGGTTGCTGAAGACCTGTTCTACCCCGGATCTTCACGGGTCTAGTATCAACAATAACGTTTAAAGTCTTATCTTATTTTATTTTAAGAAACATATTTTGTTGCAGACAGCTGCGGAAGATACTTCCTTAGTAATTGGCTCTGGGGATGTGTAGCTTCGAGCTTTCACTCTTCGGTGGCATTCCCAAGGATATAAATTTCTGTTCATATGTAGAACAAGTGAATTGATGCTTTAAAATTAAGTAACATTCTCAGCCAAAAATCAGTTTCCCTAAATGTACCACAATATTTCAAATGACAGGAACCAACAAGAGGAACGTGCTGCAGAAAGCGGACTTGGCCTCTCATGATGTAGATACTATTACTTGTGGTTTCCAAGATTTATCACACTCCTTCCACCCTGTTAGCAATATAATAAATGGGCAGTTTCTATACTGCTGAAAATAACAACCTCCGTCGGTTATTCAAATCTTGACCAAAACATCGTGAACGGCCTGCTACCAACTGGAATCACAACTTTAAAATCTTTATCAATACTCTCGAAGCATATGCAAAAAAAGAGGAGACGAACCTGCTGAGTTGGTAAGTCAGTATGCGATGTTGCCATTGGCAGAATGCAAAAAGTGCAAAAGAGGACACAGAATTGTATTAAACCCATTGTGTCCTAGACTGTTGTGTTTCAAAATATGAAGTTTTATCCCACTGGCAAGCCAAAATGAACATAACCATTACATGTAAGCGTCTTTACATCAATTGCTATATCACAGAACTTGGTATAAGTGTTATATCAATACCACGTTTAACACCAAGAAGTAAAGTGGGGAAGGAATCGGTACTATGCACTTTTGACTTTCACTCTAACACAAAAAAACCATATCCATTCTTCTTTTGTACTGGATACCAAAGACGAAAAGAAAAGAAATCAAATCCCACGTGAAGTTTACTGAGAAAACAATATTTGAAGTGCAGGGCTTTATAATGTATTACATGTACATGTATGTAAAATTTTGGGATTTGACATGCAGGCAAGAAGTAGGCATCTCCATGGACACCAATTGTGCTTCCCTCCTTACTGATTTGTTTCTTTCCGCTCGGATTGGAAAAATCAAAACAACGTAAATATGGCCAAGAAGTTTAAAATAAGCTTCGGGTATGATCTGATATCGTTCAAGGTCCAACATCGTTGGCAAGCTTGGACTCACATCCTTGATTTTGTGCGGATCCCAGTGGAGCAAAGGGATGCAAATCTGCGCAAACATAATTCTGGTTAATATAGGTTGCAACGGGATATAGTGAGAAGGAATATATATAATATTATATATATGGTGCTCCTATCACACTATAATATCAATGAGTTTAAATGTTATGAAATGTCAAATTACAAAGGGAATTTTGACCAGCTTATTTGGAAGATTTCAACTCGTTTATACTTGGCAATATTTCCTTTCTGCTAATAGGCGAGTCTAAAATATCTAAAGGGCCGCCTCCGTGGTCTAGTGGTAGAGCGTCCGCCCGTTCAGCGTCCGCCTGGAGAGCGGTAGGTCCGGGATTCGATCCCCGGCCGCGTCATACCAAAAGACGTGAAAAGGTGGTACTTGTTGTTACCCTGTCTGACACTCGGCATTAAGGGGCTAAAACAAGGACTGGTCGGCTCAGTATGCTGTGTCTGAGTGGGGTATTCATGTTAAACTGCGGCATGGTATCTCAGTGGGCTAGCACTATGAATCCGCAAGTCAAGTGTATATCTAAACGAACGCGGGAACATATGTGTCCGGACTAGCCACACACACTCATATATCTATACAAGTGCAATAATCTTGGACGCGACGTTAAACCCCTTTCCACCTCAACCTAAAATATCTACAGTGGACTGGTCAGAAACATCACCATTATCACGAGGACATTCAAATTCATTACATTACGTCATTTGTGTAAGCTAGATAATGTTAGATCTTCAATTGTAGTTATGTTCCATTTGTAAATTCAGCAAACAAGTACTAGTATACGATGAAAGTTGGGCGTCATTTGATAACCTCGCATTCCTAAACCACAAAAAAATCTGCCTTTCACTGTATATTCACGCAAGTTCGTAATACAGTCTTAAGTGCGAGGTACATGTACAGTCACACCCACGTGAGATGCACAAGTACAGCCTTAGCGTTATATGACCTGCGATTTAACACAAGGCTGTGCCAAGCCCACCGTGCAATATTGCAAATATACACACGATAAGTACCATACGTGTCCATATAGGTACTGTTGGTGGATAACACCGAATACCATTCTTGACCGATAAAAGCAGTTCACCACAAGCGTGAAATGGCTAGGGAGATTGAGAAAGGACACGGAAAGAGGGAAGAAAAGGGTTGTGAAAATGTGACAGACAAAGATGACCTCAACACTGCGGACAAACAGTTAACTTTATCCTGCGTGGATCTCCGAATCACCACCGCCCAGCACTTAAATGAAACAAGGTTTGTACTATTTTGTGTATTTTTCGTTTGACATGGAAGGTTTTTATAAGGATCTATATGTGTGACTTTGCCTTTGACCTGCACGTATGATACGTGTAGGAGAAACCATGTCTCCGAGGTATTACTAGAGATTGTAAACCCTCACATGAGGGAACGTCCCGAGGGGGCCGTAGGCGTAGGATAAAGTTAACTGTAGGCGTAGGCCCCCTCGGGACGTTCCCTCATGTGAGGGTTTACAATCTCCAGTAATATCGAGGAGACATGGTTTGACCAACTTATAAACCGACTCATCGCATAGACAACGTTTTTAATTAAATAACTGTAGTGTAATAAAAACTCTCAAATGTATAACCTGTATCGGAGATGAAATATCGCCTGCAGTCGTGAACTCGGTTCAATGAAACCGGTGACCTCAGCACATGGGTTTCGAAACGGTGCGAAATCTGCACGTGCGTCTCGCAATGGCGCGAAATCTGCACGTGCGTCTCGCAATGGCGCGAAATCTGCACGTGCGTCTCCTAGGCTGAGACTATAACACGTTTTGCTTTGACTGACGCTCATTCATTGTACAGCCTGTTGCTGGCGTACGGATCTTGAAAAGGACATTCTAAAAAGCAGTGCAGCTTGTCAACACCTCTGTAGCCTTGTGGTACACTCACTGGCTACAGATATGAAGGTTGCGAGTTCGATCCTCGGGAATATAAAAAAAGTACTTATCATTTGATTTTACATTTCATTACATGTTACAATCTGAACGGAAGTTATAATGATTGTAAGCCCTCCTGCGAGGTGTTACAATCGTTGTAATATCTCCTACGAGGTGTTACCACAATTTTAAAAACTCCATATGGAGTTACACAAACGCCAGTAGGTTTATAAGTTAGTTTCTGCTCCAAGTGACCACAACCCGTATGTCGGGTTATCGTAAACAAACATGCTTATTCTGAAATAAGAAGAGCCGGGCCTAAAGCAAGCCTTTCGGTGCGCTTTACATATTGCTAAGCAGAATTACACAGATATGCTACTACAACTACGGAGTCGATGTGCATAACAGTATACCTTTATACATCGATATCAAAGTAACGGTATCGCTAGGATTTCACCCCGGGTCGTCTAATGCTTAGAGCTTCACTATAGTCAGTTGGCCACCAGCAGAAAAGAGGCTTAGTTTAGATTTTCGTTCCCACATTTTCCTGTATTGCATAAAGGAGGTATCTGTACACAATTTTCATTGGGTAGTAAGCTTGCAAGTGTGTGCAGGAATTTTCAGGGGGTCAAAATTGCATAAATTGAAGGAAAAATGCATACTTTGACAAAATTGGCTGTAACATTTTCATTAAGTCATTAAATTATCCAAATTAAGTCTTTGATTACAGGTAATAGGTTCGGTTATCTGAATTTGGCAAACATTTTGTTTCATTTAACTGTTATTCTAATTCTCAGTGGAAACATTGGTAAAAATCATGTTTTTTTACTTCATTTTCAAATCTTGTGAGTAGGTAAAACACTAATTCCATTGAATTGTGACAATAAAACCACTACAACTGGGTATTAAAATCTGCCTTAACCATTGTACTATCCTATACAAAAAACAAAATGAAAATATATTACATAGGGGTTGAGATATTGTATACAATATTACCCCACCCCCCAAAAACCAATTTTGATGAAAATTGCTTATTGAGTTATGGTGGTAGATGATGTTGCTGTAGTGGATGAGTGGGATAATTGCAACAATGCCTAAACACACCAAAATAGTAAACTCAGAAAGAAAAATTATGTTTCAAGTTACTATGTCTGGGTTGTCTCACCATGCATGAGTGGTTTCTCTGCGGCTCAGTATAATTCGTGAAGTCACTGACCTGTATGATCTGTTTTGAGAGAGATTATCAATGGGTATAAGGGTTTTTGGGTAGGTTCCGCATGCCTACTTTGTCTAACTAGCAAAGTCACTCATCCCTGACTATACCTGGGTTGTCTAATAGCTACTGTTCACCTGTTTAAAAAAAAAGACGAAGCGGGTTGATACCATCGCTAGCTCTCCGTAGCACTTGGAGTCATATAACCAATGAATGCAAGGGATGAATACACAAATGGACATAATGTTTCACGTTTTCGAATATTTATTGACGAAAGTTAAACATTTAATAACATATGTTTCTCGAAATGTGTAGACTATGGATTATGTAGGATGTGATAGATGTAATAGGCTGGCCGCGAGGAATTGTGGGAAGTAGAGTGTTCTGCAACGTGATAATGGCTTCATACGACCGAGGCATTTACATTGTAATCTAGACTTTGACAAACACAGGCTTATAATCCAATAAAGCTGGCAATTAGTATTTTGTAACTCATCCGCAAGAAAAAAGCACATTTTGATCAATTTGCCTCTAATGAAAACATGACCGAATCCATTTATTCTGCACAGAGCTTGGGTTGTCGGCATCGCTGTGGGGAGCTCTATTGTCTTCGTTTGAGAATTGAATCGTGCATGTGCTAAAAGTGTGACGTCACATTTAAAAAACACCCAGAAGCGCCGAAGTGCTGGTCCTAGGACTGGTCAGCTCGGACTCAGTATAATATACATGTGTATCTGTGTTGGATATACTCTGGTATCTCTGTGGTTGAGCAGTACAAAACCGGCAGAAGTATGGACGAGTACAAACATCCGCACACACACGCACGCACGCACACGCGCACGCGCAAGCAAGCACACACACGCAAGCAAGCAAGCACACGCACGCACGCACACGCATGCACACACACACGCAAGCACACACACTTCATATTCTTCGCAAAATCAGTGAAATACTAATTTTGAACGCCTTTCACCTCACCGCCAAATGAGCATCAGATTCTTAATTACTCATTAGTCGATTCAACGAAAAGTAATAAAGAAATTGAGTGTGATTACAGAAGGGTATTTTGATATTTTAACATAACCATACTGGTAGTAAAAAGTAAACTTTATTTCTCGAATGTTCCTATGCATATGATAGGGCTATTATAATATTCACTTCGGAACTCCTCGGTTATATTCGTTTGGGAGAAACAGAAATCAGATATGCTGTTTTGAACAAAGTATAAATACAAAGTTATGTAAATATACTACTCAAAAGAAGTTAAGGATCACCTGATTCTTTCATATTACAATAGTTAATCTCTCATGCCATGACAGATTAACATTACTAATATGAAAGAATCGGGTGATCCTTAACTTCTTTTGAGTAGTATATATAAAGAATGGACTCGCACTGCTACAATGAGTGATCTAAATACCACTACATATCAAGATAGTACCTCAATATATAATTTTTTACGCAGGTATGTATGCAAATATGATGCATATATTGTATGCAAATTTGTATGTATATATTGTATAATGTATGTATATATAATGCATATTATATTTTAACTCCAAATTGCTTGTATTGTGCTACATTCGTTGTACAATTGTATTATACTTCGTAATGCATGTTCTCTATGCCACTATTGTGTGTTTTTGAGAATAAACTCTGTTCTGTTCTGTTCTGTTCTGAATGCTTCGCTTACTCGTGCCGAGAATTTTGAAGCCTCGACGCTGATTTGCTATGGAAGGTTTGTCAGATGGTCTCGCGGCGAGTTTGAAGTAAAATATACGATTTTAATGAGACTGAACATATTTTCTGATTACGTGTATATCTTTATTAGCAATTGAATTTTTACTGCACTGTTTAATGTATGTTTACTATGAGTATCATATATACATATAGATAACACGCAGTATGATCTTAATGTAAATGTAAATGTAACAACGCCGTTTGTTTCAGAAAGGCCCCGCCCTCCGCTTTAAAGCATGAAGGCAATAGCAGAATTAAGCTGGTTGTGCTTACAGGTGCCTGCTACAACATATTTGTGGCACTAGGATTTCCGTTCGCTATTGGGGCCCTCTATCTGGAGATACTTGATACATTTAATTCGACGAGAGGAGAGACATCTCTGGTGCCAGCGTTTTGCCTGGGATGCACGTTTGGCGTTGGTAAGTATTTCTGATACAATAGACATAGAAACGCATAAGATATATGCACTGTAGCCCGGTCACATTTCATGGTCCTCGATATGATTATTAACTAAACATTCTTTTATATTCAGAAAAACAGTGAACTGCTTTACCTGTATGTTTCGGTTAGACGTAACCGTCTCCGTGGTCTAAAGGTAGAGCGTCCGCCCGGAGAGCGGAAGGTCCGGGGTTCGATCCCGTCATACCAAACGACGTTAAAAGATGGTACTTGTTGTTACCCTGTCTGGCGCTCGGCATTGAGGGGCTAAAACAAGGACTGGTCGGCTCGGAGTCAGTATACTGTGTCTGAGTGGGGTATTCATGTTAAACTGCGGCATGGTATCTCAGTGAGCTATCGGCATCAGTCCGGACTAGAACACACACACACACACACACACACACACACACACGTCGCTATATAAGTGCAATAATCGCGACGTTAAACCCCATTTCACCTCACCTCACATCGGTTAGACGTTGTCACGTTTGGTCCAGGGCCTCGTTCCACAAAGAGACCTTAGCGCAAAGACGTACCCCGACATAAGGCACTGTAACCTCGTGACATCGTTACAACGCTTGACACGAAGAACGTATAGGTCGAGATATACAGGTTTTCGAGTTCATGATGTTTTTTGTTCATTTTCGTAGGTTTCCTGAGTGGGTTTTTCATTCAGAGATGTGGGATGAAGACCGTGATGGTTGCTGGAGGATTAGTCAGCTCATTGGGTTTATTCACAAGCTGGTTTCCTCAGTCGGTCGTACATCTGATAGTTACTGTTGGGGTTATAAATGGTGAGTCTGCGCTATCATCATAGCTTGTTTAGTATTGACAGACCTGTGGTTTTGATCGGAATATATTTAATGTGTATAGTTGAGAGATTACCGGTGTTACGCAAATGAGCAGGACTGCGTCCGTCGCGCACAGACCACACACGCTACTGTATAAAAATCCTCAATCCAGTAATAAAATACTAACCTTGGATTGGATCTAAGGTCCCCAAAAACGATCCTTGTGATAATAGTGAATATATATCTCTATCCTTGGAAAGGTACATGTGGAGTGACCATATTCCTTCTTAGGAGTACAGTATGGCTGAGTCCCCAAGCTGGTCATATAGACAAAAGGCTTGAGGGATGAGGCTATTGTATTAGTGCACAGGGTGTAACATTCAACAAACCATGCAGTAAGCATGCTTAGTAAGAGGGCTGTGACTGATAGTTTAGCGTTTAGAATAGGCTGACCAATAAAATGACTAAAACTGCATTTAATTATGTACATCATTTAATTATGTACATGTCTACTTAAAAGGTAAGATAAAGAAATATCCAAAATATGTAGCTGCCACATAAATATACGCTGAATGACAGAAAATGACACCAGAAGGTAAATTTGTTGGGAGAAAAGCACAAGTCGTGAATGGACGAGGTGGGCACCATTCATAAAGGGAAATAACTCTCTTGGTGTTAGTGAAGTGATGCTTGCAAATATATCAGCTCTCTGCTGTACCCATTCGTGACCAACTCGTGTTATTCCGGGACAAGCCGAGTAGCGACTCGTGGCCTCTCATGGCCATTTTTGCGACCGGGTTACGTCTTAGCGCAAACGGGCATACCTAAAACAATTGTCAACTCGTTGCGTAATGGTTCACATATATTTCCCCATATATTATAGATATTTCAGATGCAATTAAAAGCAATCAGGGCATGCGGAATTATACAGTATGATTGACCACATTTAACTGTGTCTTGGGTATATTTTTAGATGTAAGACATATGTTAAATCAATAATTGGTTCTGAGGGATTCTTTGACGAAGAACTTGAAGTCATACGCGCATTCTGATTGGTTTGTCGTATTTCGCACATAACATTCATCGATGGGAGACGAGTTTTCTTGCAGGTTACGGAAAGGGGCGAGTGGTGACGAATGTGCTGAACCCTAAGCTATGAGAGGGGCACGAGTCGCTATTCGGCTTGTCCCGGAATAACACGCGTTGGTCACGAATGGCAGACGAGCTTACCACTCTCTGCTGGACCCTGAGCAGACAAGCGTTAATTACGATTATGCCACAGCATCCACCCGCCGAAGACCTGCAGGCTGGATAAATGGTCTCCCTCTGTGAAGCAGGCAACGAGCATTCTAGGGCATTGTAGTCTTTGCCCGACGATATTGATAGTGTCCGCTCAAACCACACCAGCAACATGACATTTATTGAATAATGACAAGCACTGACTCTGAAATGTACATGAACGGAGCAGAAAGCCTGACCACAGGGAGGGTGGGTGGTGATTTGAACAGCGTGTAGCTAACATGGCAGCGGAAGACGAAGACGCCCCAAACGCGTGACGGTTATCGGAGTTAGAATGTAAACACAGACATGTGGCAGAATAAATATTATAAGTTGGAGAATTGGTGTTGGTATGTCAATAACCGCATTTAGCTGTTTAGGGCTAAATGAAATTATTGATATTTTGTGATATTCTATGGGTATGTTTTCAGTGTATCCCCTAACATGAACTAAGCGGCCAAAGAAAGTATGGGTAATTTGTAATTTTCCTAAAAACAGCGATAACTAGTGGAAAGTGGGTATTGGGAATATGACTGCCCAGGAACAGGTACCAAAAAACGCCTAACCCGAACGCGCCACCTTTGACGGCGCTCGTGCAGTGACCCAAAAAATGCTGAAACAGGTTTCCCGCCTATGCAATAAACTGCACGTGCATGTTAGCTGTATAAATGCGTTCGTCTGCAGGGTATAACCACACGCGATGAAAGCACACAAAAGAAATGCCACGACTGTCACAGGAGCAGAGAGAGAGTCCAAATTGCCAGAAGGTTTGGTTGTACACCATTGACAGTAGCCAGGCTGATTCAACGGTACAGGCAGACAGGGAGGACACAGGACAGGCCTAGAACCGGACGACCCCGAGTGACAACACCACTGGAAGACGGTCAGATACGGCTCATTCACCTGCGAAACAGATTCGCAACGGCGAAGGCGACGGCAGCAACAGCGTTGGGACATCCCATTAGCCAACGTACAGTACTACGACGACTTCGTGCTGCTGAAATCCGAGCGTATCGTCCTTTCCGAGGAATGGTACTGACTGCTCAACATCGACGCCTGAGACTGCGATGGGCGAGGCAGGTTCGACAGAGATTTGTCTAGGATTTCAAACTAAGTACCCCCGGCAGACAAAATGTTTTTCGGAATTGTCGTTTTTTCCATTGTCTGTATTTTCTTAAATTCAGATTTTTAAGATTTTATTCAATGCAACAAATGTAAAACTAAACATTAAAGCCTATATCTTGTTTATTTCTCCTGTTGACAGTGAAATGCAAGTCACATCTACAAATGAATAACATTAGTTATTAATTGTATAACTTGACAAATGTTTTATTCCAATTTGGGATTTTTTAATGACAGATACTTCAGATTTGGGGCCAAATATCGGGCCAAGAACAGGTCCAGATAAATCCTTGTAATTGCTTGTTGCTTGTTGTTTAATGCAAAATTCAGCCTCATTCCACTTACATGACGATGGTCTGTAAATACCTCGTAGTTATGTCTGGATCAGACAATTCAGTGACTGATATTGTCATTAGTAAAATTTGTTATTCAAAGGATTACATTTCAATCAGTCTCGAGAATTTTCTGGGGTAGAAGTGCATCGACAATACATGATTGTTTCACTGCATATGCGATTGATCAGTTTTTAGACCACTTCATTGATTAAGTGACTATTGTTGTCTATTCTTTATAAGATCAATAAACAAAATTATTACCTGTGGTTAGCAGGCTATTCCTAAAAACAAATAGTCCATTGCATTGTTGCCTGAATTGCTGCTCCCAATATGCTGCCACGTCATATGTTTCAGGATTTGGAAACAGTTTTATCTTCATTTCTATTACAAAACTGGTGGCAGGCACATTCAACAAGAGCCGAAGTCAAAGTCTTGCACTGGCAGGAATTATGTTCAGTGGTGGAATCGGAACTATTCTATTTCCATACATACTCGCTACACTAAATAGTCTTTACGGATGGCGAGGAACGTTTCTCTTGATCAGTTGCTTTTATCTTCAAACCATCGTTTCAACGTTAGTGATAACATCTAGTTTAGGGAATCCCCAATTTTTTAAAGGACAACGACCAACAGGTCACGTCACAGGAAAGGAGTCCAAATCCAAGTGGAAGCTAATGTTGAAGCCTGTTTTCGTATCCTTCGTTATAACATCCGGTTTAAAACTTTGGAACAGCAAACAACATCGGTGGTATTTTATCGGATTTGGCTAAAAGTAAAGGATTCTCTGAAGAAAGAGGACTGGCACTCATTCTTTACTACAACACAGCTCGTTTAACACAATAGCTCGACTGTTAAGTGGCATTCTGAAGCTTATACCTCGACTCCACAGTATCATCATATTCACGTTGTCTGCGGCTCTTCTTGGTAGGTTCAGAATGAATGAATGAATGAGATGAGTTCAACTTATCTTGGAACAGGAATTTAATCATGTAACGATGAGTCACCTTGATGTGTGATAACAACACACAATGTCGAAGGTCCAGGACGTAAACCACCAGACCAAGAACTCTCCATGCATGTTTGTTGCATATATTACATGTGTACGATCATTTTGTCTTCAACTGATTACTGATAACACAAGTAATATAATGTCATCACAACAAATGCTCACTTTTATCAAATTTTGCTTACAGGAATCTCATTGATGTTTCTTGGAGCATCCACCGAATGGTCGATGTTGACAGTGTTGACATCGACAGCTGGCGCTGGAATTGGAGGGATGACAGCAATGCTTCCTGTTGTCTCACTGGAGGTTCTTTCGCAGGAGATGCTACCTTTCGGACTCGGCTTCTGTGGGATGATAAACGGTGATGTCACTCCTGTTTTGGGGACAGTTATAGGTAGGCTACTTGCATCATAAAATAACTATTTTGGAGTTATTTGTTATTCTGGTAGTATTCGTGTACACTTAATGGCCCCGTTCCAATCTGGATCCCGGCATGGATAAGGGACACAACTCTTCACAATTTATTGCAATGCTCTAGACAACTGGTCCATCCGTGACTCCTATAAGTATGAAGGAGTTTTATATTGGACATACGGAGGACATTTCCAAAGTTGACGCATCAGTGACAAAAATGATGTCCGATGCATTTCCCTGCACTATATGTTTCCGTGACATGCCTTTGTGACGTGGGGCAGGATGCAGACACTTGGTATCATCACCATGACAGTGATTCATACAGACGTGCTCATGATAAGTCGGAATCGTACAATGGGTTTCTTAGGGTTATGGGGGCGGTCGGGTAGCCTGGTGGTTAAAGCGTTCGCTCGTCACGCCGAAGACCCGGGTTCGATTCCCAACATGGGTACAATATGTGAAGCCCATTTCTGGTGTCCCCCGCCGTGATATTGCTGGAATATTGCTAAAAGCGGCGTAAAACCATACTCACTCACTCTTAGGATTACGGGGAAGGTTTTGTCGCTTCTATTTATGTTCATGCATATGTAATATATTACAAGGACATTGTTCTGTTTCAGGCTTGGTGTTTGATAACAGGAAATCGTATGAAGTTCCGCTCTATGTCTTTGGAAGCATAGCCGTTGGAGGGGCTGCGCTGACGATGATGGTGTTTATATCATTGGAATGTCGGTGCAACAAAAAACATGTGCGTTCAATGATAAGACTGTAGGTTACTGTCAAAACATGCTTTGGCAGTTGGCAATTGACAATGACTATTTGAGTCATCTGTAAATGTTTCAATAAACGTACCTTTGTGCCAGGTAATGAGGGCCAGATCTGATTGACTGATTGTGTTTCATCGTGCCCCGACTGATGGATCATACTGTTAACTACTGGTTTGCCATGCATCGACTCGATTATAAACATGACACCGTGATATTGGTGGAATATATTGCGACCTGCGTCGTGATGATCTGCTAGTTTGTCCGTCTGTCTGTAATACTGTCACTTCTGGAGTAAACAACTGGCAATTACTTTTTCAACGATTTATACATAGAGGGTCTGAAAAGGAGACAAAAGAACGGAAATTATTTAAAGGGATATAATAATATGCATAATAAATAATATTTACCTGCACATATTTACAATATTAACTGATTATTAGATGAATCAAAAGTTTCAATATTTGCATTACATGAAAACAACATTACTGAGATGTGACACACAGAGACAATTTACATATCTAAAATGTGCATGAAACTCGTGCGCTAAGATTGACGTAAAGGTGTCTTAGCGAAACAAATCTTAGTTAAGTCTATTCACCAAGCTGTCTTACCACTAAGTTACCTTAAATTTACGACAAAAAGTAAGACAGGGTCGGACCTGCCTTTGGAGTTTCGGCATGCACAATAGCGGCCAAACTACGGCCTGTTGTATGAAAGTATGAAAACGACAGTATGATTTCTGAGCACAAAACTCAGTGTTTTTCAAGTGCATTTACAAAACGCAAACAAGGGATTCCACCTAACACCACTAAAACAATGTATTTACCGATGACTTATGCCTGACTTTGAGTCGATAACAAATGACAGCTAACAATCATTCGGAATCCATACAAAATGTCACGTCTACCTTTTTCGGTTATTTCGCTTGAAAGAGTAGCAGCGTATGCTATCGCAATGGTCGTGACCTTTTCTTGTCAAGGGCAGTTAATTCATATGGATAGTGAGAGTGGTTTCCCTTTGACTACGAGCACAACGTATAGAATTTATAGCATCTAAAGAAATAGCACCTCTTTGATTATGTATAGCAAGATGGCATGCTGTTTCAATGACTGTTCATACAACTGCGACGTGGCTTAGGCATCTCCCCTATAAAGCACAATCGGTGTTGCGACGTGTCGTAGGTATGCGCCTATTTACGCATACTTTTTTTTATCTTATCTTCGTTTTCCTTCGGCATCATCCTTTCGAATTCTATATATTCATCTTCAACACTTGCTGTATCTGTCTATAAAGGATAACAGGGCGGTCGGGTAGCCTCGTGGTTAAAGCGTTCGCTCGTCACGCCGAAGACCCGGGTTCGATTCCCGACATGGGTACAATGTGTGAAGCCCATTTCTGGTGTCCCCCGCCGTGATATTGCTGGAATATTGCTAAAAACGGCGTTAAACCATACTCACTCACTCACTTTAAAGGATAACAGCTTTACGATACTTTCCTCGTTAGAATAAAGAATAATGATACAATTTCAATCCAGAGAATTCCCTGAATGACGTCGTTAAGAAAAACCCAGCTAATTTTACTACCGTCACAAATGAGCTCACTGTCTATTCCGAGACTTGTGTTGTAAGTAAGATAACGTTATGAAAGGTTTAAGACAGCTTTAAGAATAGTTCATAAGGCAGTGGTAATTTTTTACGTTTGTCGCTTAGATTTATCTTAGCTAAGACAGCTTCGTGAATTGGCTGCAGGTATCTAACCTCGGTTTCACTTTGTTTCCCATGGTCAGAAATTACAGAAATTCACTCCACGTGTGGCCATATTCCTAACGATGGTAATCAATACAAAATCCCCGTGATAAACTAGTGTGTCTTATTCAGAATGTTGTTAACACAGATAATGTCGTATTAACATCAAGTTCACACATGTAACTAATACAAATAGAGCAAAGATTTACGGAAAATCAATTGAGAAATATGTCCGGTTGTGGAAGTGATTCACTCATTATAAGGTCGGCTAGCCCGTTTTCATGCTAAAGAATTCTACCACAGACAATACATCCTACAGCCGCGAAATATTTCCGCGTTGAATGCCCCAACAAGCTCTCAGTTTGGATGTGTCTCATTCGAAGTTTACTTGTTGTGTAACTGAGAGGTGATTGTGAACACGGCATATATTTCGGACGTTATTACAATAGGAGTATCTCGTAACACAAGAGCTACCTGCAGCGTCTGTTGTCTGGTGAAGGTAAGTACATGCACCTAAGACAGCGTATTAATTTTTTTCTTGTTTATCATTATTACGTTGGGTCCCTTGATCGTCTACTGACCATTGTTCGATTCGAACTGATTATGATATTTGGTAGATCAGCACTATACCTGTGTGTCTTGGTTGGGCTTTCTTCCTAACCTGACAGGGGCGGTCGGGTAGCCTAGTGGTTAAAGCGTTCGCTCGTCACGCCCATGACCCGGGTTCGATTCCCGACATGGGTACAATGTGTGAAGCCCATTTCTGGTGTCCCCCGCCGTGATATTGCTGGAATATTGCTAAAAGCGGCGTAAAACCATACTCACTCACTCACTCACTCCTAACCTGACACGCCGTTGTGTTTGTAAAATATTATAAAATGCGACTTTAATCCCAACACACTCACTCACTGTATTCAGTGTAGTTGAGCTGGTAGTCAATGACTTATTGCCAATAATTCATCAAGGATCTATTTTTTATCTTTGTAAATACAAACACACACCATGTATCACATTGTCACAGGGCCCGTGAAGATCTGGGATTGAGTAGGTCTTCAGCAACCCATGCTTGCCGTAAAAGGCGACTATGCTTGTCATAAAAGGCGACTAACGGGATCGGGTGTTCAGGCTCGCTGACTTGGTTGATGCATGTCATCGGTCCCAATTGCGTGGATCGATGCTCATGTTGTCAATCACTGGATTGTCTGGTCCAGACTCGATTATTTACAGACCACCGTCATATAATGTAGGTGGAATATTGCTGAGTGCGGCGTTAAACAACAAACAAACAAACAAACATTGTCACAGTCCCACAAGACACAGATTATAAATGCAAATACAAATCGATCCTTCCGACACTGGGAAAACAAAATAACGTTCTAACAAAAAAAAAGGTACTGTAGGAAATGCTGGAAAAAACGCTTTTCATTAAAAAATGATAAGAAAATACACATTCTGTTGCTATTGTAATAGCTAGTAACTACCGATCGACTTACTTGTGGTTGGAAGTATGTCAGTCACAAGGAGTCCTATCGACAAGTTTACAGGAGAAAAATTCGAACGAAAACAGTAACTTCACATTTATTTTACGTCCAGTAATGGCAGTCTAAAACGTACTATAAAAATATGCGCACGTGACTCCGTTATAATGATGATAATGTAATGATAAAATATTTAATCCACACAAAAGAAATGAGATGGAGAAAATTATAGATGTGCATCTTCTAAAATAACAAAATGACGCTGCGTTTGTTTTGTCAACACTGCTCCCGTGATGCATGCTACTTTACACTTGCATAGCCATAGCCGTGGTACTTGACATGGAGTCTGTAATGGGAAAGTTCATAACACTTTGGAGAGATAGAAGGAAAACATTTATTAGTTTAGATAGAGCGAATTACCGAAATGGCCAAGCTATGGGGTTTTCAATTCATACCATCAAGTCTACGGATTGATAAATAAAACATAAAAGTTTAAGGGTGGTCTCAAAAACGAAACCGCGACGTTAGAAGATATACTATACAAGCTTTATGAACAGAAGATACTCCCGACCTAATGTAAAATTCGGGAGGAAATTAAAGATACAATTAATGTTTCCCGGACTGCACTAAATATTGCCCATTTCGATACATTGCGCGTGGCGATGACCGAGCAGTTTTCAGGTGAAAATATTCCATCCTGTCGATGAGGTCGCATTATCTCCGCACCATTCACCGCAGTCAGGGCTTTGTGTAAAAATTATTGTTTTGCACGCCACAACCCGATATCTATAAAGCGCAGTAAAGTTCTAACTCTCAGGCACAATATAGTAATAATTAAATAAGTGCATGAACGACACAATTTGACGTTTTTCACGAGACCGTGTTCTTGAAATGACGTAAACACTGACGGACTACTTCCACATTCCTGGAAAAAGCCCTGGGATTTCCCTAGCACGAAAACATACATAAGCATTATTTCTGATCATTTAGAAACTTTTATCTTGGTCTCAGCCTTTCAGTATTCATTGAGAAACGTAAGAGAGCTTGACTGCATGATTGTTTACGAATTTCCTCGCTACGGCCCATCTTAATGAACAAACGAAAAAAAGGACACATCCAAACTATCGTCAGTATCGACTCGATCTGTGTCTAGGCTGACAGTGACCGTCTCCAGCAATCTACGAATTTACCTTGGTGTCTGTTTGACGCATCTTTAATCAGCTTTCAATAATCGGTCAGTTGATCAATGATGACTAACACATGTAACCGCCACAGGTTCATTAACAACTTCGGAAATCCTCCTTCACGTTTATCGCCTTTTGACGCCTTGTACTTTGTGTAAATGTATTACGACGCGCTGTCTTTGTGACTGACTTACTGAGGTAGTTCTTTACAGACCTTTCTCATATAATGGTGTTATTATTTGAACACATGTGTTGCGTAAGATGTTTCTGAAGAGCAAGTTGTGCATCCATACGCCCATGTCACCTCTCTTTTTGAGGAACTATTTTACTCCGCGATATAGCTGGTTGTTGTATGGCTGTCAGTGTAAACATGAAGTCACACGTACTAAATATTATTGTGTTTAGATCTTGGCCTACATCCTTTGAGGTAAGAAATTGTGATAAAAAAATTATAAGAATTGACTTTCACAAGCTCCGACGTTCATACAGTTTGGCTCTCTCTCTATGAAGGTTCATACTCCAATGAACTCACACAAAGTGAAAGTCAATTCTTAAGTAACATATAGTTACATGACGTCATAACATTTAGGAGAACTAAGACGTCACAATACCAAGGTGACAATGGACAAATAACTTACGCCTTTACATTTAACTTAGGCGCGTATTTATGAATGAAATGTTGCTCTTTTTGAGGTGAGGTGAAATGGGATTTAACGTCGCGTCCAAGATTATTGCACTTATGTAGCGACGTGTGCTCTTTTTGAAACAATGTAGGTTCATGATCAAAGCTTATATAGCAGGAAAACTAAAACGTTGCCGCTTCCACATGTATCTAAATGTTCACTGAGTGGAATCGTGCGGTTGTGTGGCTGCTTTATCTGTGAACCGTTCACAAGTGAGTACCCCGTTTTAAAAGAACAAATTGATACATACATGTAAACTTAGAAATGAGAGTAGACTCCCAACCGTTTGAAACGTCCACATAAAGCCATGAGAAAATGTTTTTATGAGAGGCTCTTGTATGACGCCCTCAGTGACCTAAATACAAAAACATGGAACGTCTTTTTAAGACATCTGTCCTCGTGCATATTAACAATTTTAAGTAAAATGTTATTGTACTTAGAAGTGAGTTAATAATAACTGGATAGATTTCTGTGAAATGCGTACTTAAGAAACTCTACTTGTAACTGCTCAAGCGTCGGGGAGGGAGTTCCGAATTTCATTTCCTTGATCATATGAGCGGGGAAACCAACTTCAACTTTCAGTTTTGGTTCTGGAGCAGCGTGTCAAGGAAACTGATTCGTATGCCGGAAACACTGAGTGCCAGTACGTTCACGACTGAGAACCCATTAATAACGATGCAACACGCACGTTCCTGTTTAATAATAGTCATGATTTGCCGGTGTATTATCGTTGGATTTTACTACTAAATGCAGAGAGATGGAGAGTCAATACTTATATTATATCACATATGTTTTATCGATTTCCATTGCTGATTTGTCAGATGAAGTCACCCACTGTTTATGGCATCACAGATTGATATTACGCCATCTTCACAATAGGTTGCCTTCAGTGTAAGTTTCTCTGTAGTGTAGTGGGCTTACACCATTCATTCACACGGGGCTGATAAACACTTTATTCTTACACTCACAGACACACACACACACACACACACACACACACACACACACACACACACACACACACACATTTGAGGTAACTGGTATCAAACATGTGTGAGATCGAAATCTCGGTTCGTGATTGGCTACTGCATGGTGATGACCTGAGGTCAATTTATGATGGACTACTTTTCTATTTGTAATCTATTATCATCTATGACTTGATAATCCACAGACATGCGATCATGAGTAGAGTAAAAATATGCATCGATGCTAAAATGCTGCGATTTGAGGGTGTGTAAGAAACAGACTAATGCACTCACGCCTGGCATGTACCATGTATCTTATAACTGGGCCCAAAACGTATCCAACACGTTTTGAAACTACTCTTTGTAAACCTGGAACTAGTAAAATGGTATCTGACAACCACATGGGAAGTATTCTCTATTTACTGGGGGCACGAGTGGCCCAATCGTCTAAGGCGCCGCGATTCGCTGTGCAGAGTTGCGTCCCTTGGGCACGCCAGAAACCTATGATTGTGGGTTCGAATCTCAGTTATGTTTCTAGGTTTGTCAGCACCATATCCGTGCTCGTGGGTTTCACCGAATTGGTAAACGTTTGAGGCCTGCATCACTTCGGGCTTTCCTCCCACATTAAGCTGACACGCCGCGATATAACCGGAACACTGTTGAAAGCGGCGTAAAACCCAACTCACTCACTCACTCTATATACTCGTTGTTCGCTGCTTGTGCAGTAAGTAAAATGCTGAATTGGGTATGCCACCTGATTGTGACAGAGATACGAATTCATATGAATCCTCCTGAGGCCCTGAAGTGTGTAATTATCCTGCATATATGTGATAATAAGCCAGGTGAAGGTTGATATAGTCAGGTAATCATACAAACATATATCCACGCATCGAAAAATATGAAAATCGCAAAAACTTCAGGATATCAGTTACTAGTTGACAGAGTATGTTTGTACGAATATTTATCTTAAAGTTACAAATGGCGCAAGCGCCACGAGCTGCATGTGTTTAATATCTCTCTCTCTCTCTCTCTCTCTCTCTCTCTCTCTCTCTCTCTCTCTCTCTCTCTCTCTCTCTCTCTATTTTATATATGTGTTTCATCCGAACTGTTTTCGTTTAAAACCTTTTTTAACAAATATCGATCAAAAAACATTCATACAAACGTACACTCACAAGTAACATGCAGTCATGGAACGCTCCAGACCAGTTCAGTATAACAAAGGCACTAGGGATGTTCTGATAAACTTATCATTTTTTAAGAAGAAACAACTCCTGAGTACATATTTACGTTTTTCAGAAGACTTTTGATGACTTTACATGTAACTTAACATAACCAATGTGAATTACCTTGCTTCATTACAATAAATGTTGTTTTTATTAACAGATTAACCAAGATGTCAGCAATCGCAAACACATCCAACTATGACAAGATCCTATATCACCGAGACGACATATATGCCATCCAGGTTTTACCAGCCGTTTTGATCCTCGCTATCCTGATGTTAGTAGGCGTTATTGGTAACTCACTCGTGTGTTATGTATACCTCGTCAAGCTAAAGCCGAACGTTGTGACATACTTTATAATCTCTCTGGCCCTTCTGGATTTCCTGAACTGCGTCATCAGCATTCCATACGAAATCGCAGTGATGAGATACAATTATACATTTGGCACGTCAAACGCCTGCAGAGCTGTGCCTGTAATGATTTACATTATATCGTTAACGTCTGCATTCGTCCTAGTTGCGGTAGCCGTCGACCGATTTCGGAAGATTTGTAAACCGCTCAAAAAGCAAGTAACTCCATTCATGGCAAAAGTAGCTGTCGGCATCTGCTGTGTTGGGGGCACTGTGGTTTCAGTGCCTGTTATTATTCTCTATGGACCAAGCACCATTACAACACATGATTTTATCAACGGGTCAAGATGCAGTGTTGCTGATGAATACAAAGGAACCACTTTTCAAATAGTCTACCATGGCACAGAGTTCATTATCTTCATCATGTGCACAACTTCTCTAATCGTTCTGTATGCATTGATATGGCGACAGCTTGCACGTCAAATACGGTTCAGGAATGCTATGCATCCAGCAGGACAAGGTAACATCTCTGTAAAGACGACAAGAGATGTTGAGACCACATCAACCACTGGCGAGACGTCGTCATCTTACGAGACTGGAGAAGGAGTAACATCAATGCCAAATGATCAATTAATCACCCAAAAGACTGATACCTTGGTTTCCTCGGGTCATACTCCCGCAGACCAATCTACGAAAGACGACGACGACAAACAACACCCACCAATAGACAAAATGAGTCCTCGTCGCAGGTCAACAGCGTTTCGCAGACGTGATACGATGACATCGCCACAGAGCAAAAGAGCGCGGAAGACGACGATGATGATGTTTCTTATCACACTTGTGTTTATCTTGAGTTTTCTGCCCCATCTAGCAATAATGATAGCCGCAACGAACAACAAACATCTCTACAGTAGTCTGCAGGGAGCGCAGATCGCGGTGTACAATCTGTTTGAAAGATCCTATCTTTTTAATAGCGCCTTCAATCCCATAGTTTACAGCTTTTTCAGTGACAAGTTTAGGAGAGAGCTTAAGATCATATTTGGGAGACACTAAACAATCCCGACGGTGAACCTCTCTTGGTCCTTATGTTGATTAAAAACAAGAATTTGAGTAGACCGAGTGCCCCATTAATTGTAGGAGTGGATATTGATGGTCAGATCGATTAAGAGGACCATTATCGGATGATCGTTGATCCGATGATTGACGATTGTTCATCACATAGTTAACAAGATTGATTTTGGTTGGTTCTGACAACATATGGATGACTTGAAAAGAAATGTCAAATTGTACAGATTGGTGCAAATCGAATTTCCTGTTTCTAAATGCGAAATAAGGAAGTAATAAGTTTTAGAATGCCATTCACGTCGTTTGAAAGCCTATGGTGTCCATAGTCAACCTAATTTAAATATTTAAGGAAAGTAATACGTTTTATGATTTTTGTGTTTTGCTTTTTAACAAATACTCAATTTTATAAATATCGGCACATGATCAGTTTCTTTTGCCTTTGAGTATATATCGTCTATACGCATTTCTGTACACTCATCACGTCAAGTAGGCTTCATCCGGAAATGAGGATACAATTTTGTCGTTGACATCTTTGTTTACATGTAGCTAGTTTCACACACACTAATATGTGAATCAATTGAAATGTCACGTGACACTTCAACAATGCCAACCCTGTCACTGAAACTGCATAAAACAGGCACCTAAATTAACAAAAATGCGTGTTTTTCAACGCCTCACTCAGTTATTCCACCAATATAAGGCGGCCTGTAAATAATCGAGTCAGGACAAGACAGTCATGAGCATCAATCCACAGAATTAGGACACAGTAGCATGCAGTCAAACAAGTCACCGTGTCTCACCATCCTATCCACTGAATCGAATCTTACTTCAAACACAGCTAGCTTGGGACCAAGTATAATCCGAAAGGTCGCTTTCAAGTAGCTTGTAGAATGTTATGTTTGACATTCTATAACTCTAAAGCTGCACATTCAATAAAACAACATTGTGGTGCAAATTCTCAACGAACCCTTGTTGGGGAGAATAGCTTCATGTAGGTCCCTACTTTCTGGGGGCACGGGTGGCCAAGTCGTCTAAGGCGCCGCGATTCGCTGTGCAGAGTTGCGTCCCTTGGGCACGCCAGAAACCTATGATTGTGGGTTCGAATCCCGGTTCGCCCCGATTATGTTTCTAGGCTTGTCAGCACCATACCCGTGCTCGTGGGTTTCACCGAAGTGGTAAACGTCTGAGACCTGCATCACTTCGGGCTTTCCTCCCACATTAAGCTGACACGCCGCGATGTAACTAGAATACTGTTAAAAGCGGCGTTAAACCAAACTCACTCACTCACTCCCTACTTTCTCTTCTTAAAGCCGTAAGGATAGAGTGGTTCTAATATGTCACCGGCTGATTGTATGACGCCAAAGGTGTAGGCGGTTGCCCATGCTGGCAACCACTGGTTTGCCTACTCCTCACTCGAATATCTACAGGCCGTCATGATATAGCTAAATATTGCTGACTGCGTCCTGACACAACATTCACTCACTCTTATGCGTGACTCACTCTTATGTTTTAATAAAGCCATGCTATGTAATAAGTGGATTGTGTTATTGGTTGTATTTCCCGGTAGAGATAATTGCCTTACGTGCATTAATCGGGCAACATATAGAGAATCTCACCCGAGTGTCTTTTGATATCAAATATATCGACACGAGTTGATAAAAGTGGGAAACCTCCGAGGCTTGCCGGGGATTTTTTCCACTTTTATCAACGCGTGTTGATATATTTGATATCAAAAGACACGAGGGTGAGATTTTATTTATCATCCAACATCATTCTTACAAATTGTTTGATAGGTATTACTTAGAAGTTGACGGATGACAAGATAGACACAATTTTTATGGATAACAACTTCTTTAATACTGGGAAAAGCGACGTTTCGGTATAGATCCTTATACCGTTGTCAAGCAAGACTGAATGAGGGACATAGTACAGAATATATATAGTAGGTGGAGGATTAACAGTAGAGGATTGCAATTGCAATTGTTGTTACTGTTAATCCTCTACTGTTAATCCTCCACCTACTATATATATTCTGTACTATGTCCCTCATTCAGTCTTGCTTGACAACGGTATAAGGATCTATACCGAAACGTCGCTTTTCCCAGTATTAAAGAAGTTGTTATCCATAAAAATTGTGTCTATCTTATCATTCTTCCAACTTTTTCAGTTTGTAGAAAGTAATAAGCAGTGTCTTAAGTGTAAAAAGTACTGCCAACAGCTTCAGTAGCAGAGCCTTTAATGATGTCATTTGATTGTGACGTCATGGTAACCAATGAAGTCACAATGGTCTGCAAAGCATTGTGATGTAATTTCATTGCAGCGATGTCTACAGTGTAGATATCGCTTGATCTCACCCAAGCCATATCTCCTGTGGGAGCCAGTTTTGGATGATATACCTGTTGTGATATACTCCTTGACATGGATCGATCCGTCGTATGACAAGTCTTGAGCAGGTTCAAATATTTATTCAGGAATGCTACAGTCGTGCATAGCATTCAAGACAGATGATCCTGGCGAGCACATGTGATATGCCGCACGTGAAGTTTCGTGCACGTGACGAGATACCCAAAAGATTTACCTTTCCTACACCACTACGTGCCTGCATAGTAAATGTACCACAACATGATGCATGTAATATCGTCCATGGTACCTACAAAAAATACATCACCATCGGATAAACATTTTTAGTTTCTAGTCTAGTGGTAGACAATCCGCCCGGAGAGCGGAAGGTCCGGGTTTCGATCTCATAAACAAAAGACGTTAAAAGATGGTACTTGTTGTTACCCTGTCTGGCGCTCGACATTAAGGGGCTAATACAAGGACTGGTCGGCTCGGAGTCAGTATACTGTGTCTGAGTGGGGTATACATGTTAAACTGCGGCATGGTATCTCAGTGGGCTAGCACTATAAATCGGCATCAGTCCGGACTAATACAAGAAGCCACACACACACGCACGCAGGCACGCACGCACGTCGCTATATAAGTACAATAATCTTCGACGCGACGTTAAACCCCATTTCACCTCACCTCATTGAGGCACCAATAAACATGGGCGTATATCTTGCCGTATAGATAAACAGATCTCATAACGACGTATTATGAAACAGGTGTGTCATAACACTTGCATAGAAATTAATTGCACCACTGGTACTATTTTGTTTATCATTCATTCATCTCATATATCTGAGAAATGTAACTACGATGGTTCTCGGACATTATTTCAGTTACTGATGCACAAAAAGTCTGAAATGTCCTCCATTTACATGTATGTCTATAGCTACCATAAAACGTTTTGAGCTTTAATAAGGCCTTCAATGTTGTAATCATGATCAAGCAAAATATCGTATATGATGGCTAAAGCTATGGTAAACACTTCCGAGAGATTTATGGCGTTTCGAATGAGTCTTCTTGTGTACAAACGGTAATGGTAGGTGTCCACTGTCAAAACGTTCCTGTTTGATAAATTAACAATATGTTTTCAATGTGAAGTTCACACAATATACGGCTTTTCCACTGGACGGTCACATGACCTCGAAACTAACGTTTATAAGTGTATGAAAGACACATTTTGACGTTCATACATTTTTCAGGAGATTGTATTCTTGAAATGACGGAGACACCGACGGAACACTTCCACATTCCCAGGAAACCCTATTGCACGTTCAATAATATCCTCCACGACCATCCCAGTGAACAAAACGAAGGAAGAAAGGCACACCCAAACTATTGACGCAAAACGTGTCTAAACCGAAACGTGACTGTCTTCAGCAATCTAAAAAAATACCTTACTTTATCTATTTGACCCAAATATATAATCACCTTTCAATGATGAATAATAATTAACAGTTTTAATCAGTAATCACCACATGTTCATTAAAAGCTTTCTCTCCCGTCACGTTTATCGTGTTAGCCATTTTGACGTCATGTACTTGAGGTAAATGTATTTCGACGCGCTGTCTGGTTGACTGAGGTAGTTCTTAAAATACCGTTTTCATCTAATGATGATCTTATCTGAATCTATTTCTTGTAACCAGACCACATACGGATTTCCTGTAGAGCAAGTTGAGCATGCATATTACGCTCAAGTCCCTTCTACTTTTGATGAACTATTTCTCTCCGAGTTACAGTTTGGTTGTTCTATGGTTGTCAGTCGCACGAGCAAAATGAAATTGTGTTATGAATCTCTCTAGGGATAAAATAGTAACATATAAAAAAATATTGAGACATCGTATCACCTTCCTGGTCAACTCACCTATAATCATATTCTTCCGTAAACTGTTTTCTATTGTTTTGAATTGATTCAATTCAAAAGAATAATAATAATCATATTTTCATTTTCCCGAATAAGAAGAAGCTGAAAATGATTTATATATTTCAAATTACGTCGCGACAGACTGAAAATTCAAAAGTTGAAATGAATCTAGCGTGGCACTCATTTGTTGATACCGTATAGGCTGTTACAAAAGTTTTCTAAATATCATTACTTGAATAAAGGCTGAGGAATGACAAGGACTTACTGTCATTAATAAAAAAAGAGAGAAACACTATAACTTTTTTCATAAATGTTCAAATAACATTTTGCCTTCTTTTTTTTGCACTTTTTGGATGTTCAACATCATGCAGAGAGTTATGGCTTAAATTCCCTTTACAAAGTTCAACTAATATCTTAAAAGTAAGTTTTGAAGTGTGATAGCTATATCACACATATTTGATTGGAACCTGGGCCGTAGAAATCATTAGTTAAAAGCATAATTTTATCTATGACACCCTTCTGAGGACACGCAGTAAGCCGGATCATACAGTGTAGCCGCCCAAATGACGACCAGAATAAGGTCGTTTGGACCTTTACCGCTCAGGAAGAGCCAGCTGAATTAACCTATCGCCACCCGTACATTAAACAACATGATTGACCAGTCAGATTGGTTGATCCATGACATGCATCAACCAAGTCAGTGAGCCTGACCACCCGATCCCGTTAGTCTGATTGACGGGGTTGATGCATGTCATCGATCCCAATTGAGTGGATCGATGCTCATGATATTAATCACTGGATTGTCTGGTGCAGACTCGATTATTTACAGACCGCCGTCATGTAGCTCAGAAATTGAGGCGTAAGTGAATCGAACATTTTGCCCGACAGCTGCAAATCTAAAAGTGGTTAGTAGCTTGTATTTCTGCAAATGTGGTTAATGAGTCAGAGTTTCAAAATATGTACTAAAAATAGTGTCAATCAACACTCACAGGAATTTGTTTTACTTTCGAGTCTGTGCCGTGTCATTTGTACAGTTTATGTTTTCCCTGAACGATATCTTTTCGGTGACACGATGGCGCAGCACGTTGTGACAGCTCTCATAATGATCATGTTGTGCGGACTAAGGAAAGCAGGTATATTTCTTTTGTAATACTTGTGTGTCCTGAAAAATGGCCTTCATTCCTTATTAACACCTATTTTGATTTTACGCCCAGTAGAATCTGCTTCGGCAGATAATAGAGACGATTATTGTCTTGCGCTGACGTTATACACGTTAGAATGGATTTTCAGCATGCAATAACGAGGAGAGTAAATGGATCGGACGGTGTGGTTGCTTGGTTGTCTACATGCCATCGTATTCCAACGGCGTGGATCAGAATCACTTATTTGCAGACCGCCGTCTATCAACTAAACAAACCCGTTATAAGAATGTACGTACAGGTACATTCCTAGCCATAAGCTGATAAGATGGCATAACATAACGAAATGGCTTGTATTTCAGTACAACATCTGACATATATACTTGAGCTACGTCCTTAAGCACCTTGAACAGTAGAACCAGTACTTTGTATTGGATTCTTTTGTCGGAATGGAAGCCAGTGCAATTCCTCAAGAACAGGTGTTATGTGTTTATACATTTCTTGAACTCACGCTGGATGTTAAAGTTCCTCTTTAGCTGGTTCAGCGGACATCCTGGAGGTACGCACTACAAAGCACAACAGCAGGTTAATCTTGGGGTCACATATTCCTGTGAAATTACATCACAGATATATTCAGATAGTTGTTTGTCGACCCGATCAAGCTACACCCATCCTAAACACAACTGGAAGACGAACAGACAGATGTTTGTTTCATTTATGACTGTGGACAGAATGGTCAACGAATCTTGCGAAAACAGAGGAGACAATTTGAAGAGTTGCAGGAACTTTGCAGAAAGATCTAAAGAAGCTCAAAATGGGGAGAGTCGAAAACAAATCAAGATTGACATAGCAGGATGCGCACACAGCAGTGGAACACATGAGGAAAATACACAGGAATACAAACCTCGGGCAGACGGTCAGTGAAAAGTAGAGAAACGCGACAATGAAGCTCGTCCGACCAAAGGGCAAGAGGAAAAGACTCAGGCAGACGGCCTACTCGTGGTGAAGAAAGCAATCATGAATCGTGTGCGGGAAAAGACCAAGAAGAGAAACCCCGGTTTGACAATGTTGAGAATGGAGGTGACGCGCCAGTATCAAGAATTGTTCAAAATCTCCACTTAGGCCAAGATGCAACCTTGATGCAACCTTGATCAGAAAAGAGATTTTGCGTCTGTGGTCAGACTTTGAAATGCGACCTGACGAAAATAATTCCTGGACAAGATACCTCAGAATGATATTATGTCAATACAGGTTAAGGTTGGTATTCTTTTATCGAATATATATATATATCCCACATACCAAAAGGGGATTGGCAGCCTCGTCAATGAATGCAGTGTGATCCTTTAAAAGAAGGAATGCTTTGCCTTTGAACATGGTGTTTGCCTTCGTGTGATCGGGATTGTATGACGTTTCATACAATACTGGGTCATGTGAAAATCATGATCAATTAAATGTGATGAATCGCTTCTTTTTGTATACATGTATTTATCTGTACTTTCGATAAACATGTATATAGGGTCTGAACGTTTGCTTTGAGTCACAGATTGTATATGAATAACACGTGTTTGTTTCACTTTTACATCTTCTCTAGGGCAGCTTCCCTGTTTGTTTGTTTCTTTCTTTCTTTGCCTAAATGCCCTTCTTCTCATGTTGACTTTTTTGATGAAGTATATCTAGGCAAGCGTTACACTGTTGTGTTTTCTCGTGTGAATAACAGCTGTTTACTTTACGTTGTTGTTTGTTTTATTGTGTTCTGGGTTCTGGATATATTATTATTGTTATCCTTAGAACATATTCTTTTCATTTTATCAACAAATGTATGAAACGGTAACGTGTCATTCGTCACCACTCGCCCCTTTCCGTAACCTGCACGAAGACTCATCCCCCTATCGATGAATGTTATGTGCGAATATACGACAAACCAATCAGAATGCGCGTATGATTTCAAGTTCTTGGTAAAAGAATCCCTCAAAAATAATGTTTGATTTTTACATATGTCGTGCATCTAAAAATGTATCCAATACACAGTTTAATGTGTTCAATCATACTGTATAATTTCACATGTCCAGATGTGCTTTAAATTGCATCTGAAATATGTATAATATATGCGGAAATATATGTGCACCATTACGCAACGAGTTGACAATTGTCTTAGGTATGCCCGTTTGCGCCCGGACCCGGGCATTATCACTTGCAAACGCCCTCAGTCTTTCAACTGCCCTCCTTCGTTGCGCAGGCAATGGACCTTGGACTGGTATAAATTGAAATGTTTTGCAAAAAGTGAGTGAGAATGGTTTTACACTGCTTTTAGCAATAGTCGAACACCATCCCGGTAGGAGACCAACGAATGGAATTTTTGGCGTGAGGACCGAACACTTTAACCACTAGACTAGCAGAACGAAAAGCTGACATCCAAAGTGCTACCCGAGTGAGTGAGTGAGCATGGACCAGACACGATACGACGCACAATCAAGCATATGACTTTTCTCCTCAATCTAGTCGACTCTTTGCATGAGGTATGAAGACCGATTGAGACCGAGAATCTCACAGGGCCAGAGTCTATTTGAGGTTGTTATTGCTGTTATACATTCATTAACTTTTATTGTAAAATCATATTTTGCTTTGCTGCAAAAAAAATACATGAGCATAATGTTGTGTCAAGAAATGAATGTAAATCCCTGTCGACAACGTTTGTTTGCCTATTATGCCTACTGTGTGTGAGTGAATACAAAATGCATGTCGACAGTAAAGGCATAACGGTTATGTGACGCGGGGACAAGTAGACATAATATAATTCAAGGGAACTAACTCTGTAAGCTTAATAGTAACAGTCCTGAGGGCTCACAAAGCCACCCAATGCATTCTGGTGCTATAATAGGCCACACGCGTTAGACTTTGCACACTACGTGGACTATGTTATTTTCCCTGTCAAAAGAATTCTAATTTGCATTCTCATGATCAGTCCCCTTGGCTAAAACAACAATAACAACCATTAAACTTCCATAGAACTACTACTACAACAATAACCACAACTACAACAACTGCATCTATTACTACTACGACACTTCATCCTTGGTGTAGTGGGTTCAGTGTCTACCCGGAGAGTGAAAGGTCGTCGGTTCCATTCCCTGGAGAAATTGAAAGATGGTAAACATTGTTACCCTGACTGGCGCTCGACAATCAGTGGATAAAGAAACGGATTGGTCGGCTCGGGGTTAGAGAAATGTGTCTGAGTGGGGTATTCATGTTAAACTGCAGCAAATGGTTCTTGGATCGTCAGCACCATACCCATGCTCTTGGGTTTCATCAAAGATGTAAACGTCAACGGCCTACATCACCTCGATCATCGGCTGTTCCTCATCCAAATCGAAGTGCATGTATTATCCGTGTTAGTGAGGTAAATAAAATGACAGCAATACCAGTGACTCTGTCATTCAGAATAGTGCCTTGACTTGCAAAACCATAGCGAGAATAAGCCATCGGACAAGAACACGCTGGTCAGAGCGTGCACTCCGTTGACACAATCTGCCGCCAGCAGGCCTATCAGCAAAGAGAGGCGCAGCGGACCACCAAGAGTGACCAACCCTCGCCTCACCTGGACCGACACATTCATCGCCAACACTGACAGAACCGGTTCCGAATATCTTTATTCATATTGCTTTCATAAATTGTTTTAGAAAGTTTTGAATTGATTCAATTTCAAAGAATAATAAATAAGTCACATTTTCATTTGCCGGATAATGTTCTATAAAGAGGAAGCTGAAACTGATACATATATTTCAATTAACTTCGACACAGGCAGAAAATTGAAAAGTTTAAATAAGTCCATATTTGCTGTTTTTAATAGGCCATACGTTCATGTCCAAGATAATATTTGACTAAGAGGAAGCTGAAACTGATGAATATATTTCAATTTAAACACGGACTGAATATTAAACAGTTGAAATACTTCCAGCATGTTACTGATTTGCGGTAACAGTTACCGGTCAGGATAATATACACGTTCTCGGATTATCATTTATTTAAACAAATGGCTGAGGAATGATAAGGAAGGAAACACTAAAAACAATAGAAATGTTCAAATAACATTTTGCCTTCATTTGATTTCAAATTTGTGGCTGTCAACATCAAACAAAGAGGTATGGCTAGCATGCGTTCTTTTTATGACGATCCACGCTTTGTATTATTTTGAGACAAAGTTGGTTTTAGAAATATTACAGCAGTGTCACATAAATCATTGGAATCTGGGTTGTATAAATCATTAGTTAATAGCATGAATATCTCTCTATGACACCCTTCTGAGGATACCTAGTTAGCTAGTTAGCTGGATCATACAGTGTACCCACCAGAATGACGACCAGAATTTGGTTGTATAGACCTATACCACTCAGGACGTTCCACGATGAGGTGAGCATGTTGTATGAACCTATTGCCTCCTGTACTTCAAACAACATTGCCAGTCAGAAAGGCAATCGGACATTTTGTCCGACAACTTCATGTCTATATGGCCTTTGTCAATGTGATGGTATCATAAACTATATTTTATTCAGAGGGCTATAATATATGTAGTTAAGAAAAAGGCGAGCAAAACGTGGCAGATGAAAGACAAACATGGAAATAAAAAAATGTATCCAAAACTACTGAAACATACATGTTCATGTTAAATAAAACAGCAGGTTGTTTTCAACTCATGTGGAGAACATGTTTTTGTGTGTTTGTTTGATGTTTAACGGCGCACTCAGTAATATTACAACTAAACTGAAGTTGGTCTGTAAACAATCGAGTCTGAACCAGACAACCCAGTGATTGACATAATAAGCATCGATCTACGCAATTAATGACATGCATCAATCAAGTCCGCGTACCTGACCATCCGATCACGTTAGTCGCCTCTTGCGACAAGCATGGGTTGCTGAAAACCAATTCTAACCCGGATCCTCACGGGACTGGAGAACATGTGCTACACGTCCTATCATGAAGTGGCGTGAGGCTGTAGGTGTAAAAAACCTAAACGTTAATTTACAAAAGTATGTCATCACAAACAAAAGAACTTGCTTTCAGGTTGGTTCCTTATATTTGAAAACTGTGTCTTATGAATCATACTTTCAAAATAAGCTTACTGAAAATAATGTATTAATGGACGAATCACGAAGTTGTTTCGGTTTCTAATCAGCGTTGTGTTATGTACAGGTTATGATTTCCTTAAACGTTATTTTTTCAGTGACACGATGCATCACGTACTGACAGCTCTGGTATTGATGTTGGGGGGACTAAGGAAAGCAGGTAGATTTCATTTTTGCTTGTGTGTTGTAACATTTGTCCTCAATTCCTTCCTCATATGAGACTATCTGTGACAATTCCAGAACTAGCCCCAAGCAACCTATGATTGTCGTACTAGGCAACTAAACTGATCAGATGGTCAGGCGACGTGGTTGATTGCGTGCCATCATATCCTGATGGCGTGAATCTTTACTCATTATCAATCACTAGTTTGTCTGATCAAGATTCTATTATTTACGGATTGCCGTTTTATAGGTGAAATACTGCTTAGTGCTTAATAAAATATATTTGAGAACTACGTGTAGGTACAGTTTTGGCTATGAGCTTGTCAGATGAACTGAGATGACGTTATTGTTGGTACTTCAGATACACTGGAACTGCGTTGTTATATACCTACACGGTGGAACCAGTATGTTGCATTGGATCCTTTAACGGGTTGGAGGCTAGTGCAATTCTTTCAGAACGGGTGTCATGTGTAACGGTTCATACTTTCTTATAATTGCTTTGGCTGTTGAATTTTGGAATACCTGGAGTTTGTTCAGTGGATATTCTGGAAGCCCGTAGAACAAAGCAAATCAGTGGGCTATTCTGGTGGTCACACGTACTTGAACCAAAGTTGCTGCAGTTTGTTGAAATACTTCCTCATATGATAGTATGCACCTTTACAGATAGTATTTATGTTTAATGCTGTACATGACCCCGAAATGTGTATCTTACCGCATACCTATATTTCTTTGAAGTATCAAAATGATTATGTTTTCAGATTCTTTTCCAATCATATTTGAACCCCACATTAGAAGCACGCAGTACATTCGTCGGGGGCAAGATGTTGTCCTGAACTGCTCAGCTGAAGGCAACCAAGTATTGAGGTATTTCAAATTTCAAAACTGGATTAAACACGCTTGTATTTTTTGGGACAAAATAGTTCCGCTTTCGTTCGAAATTCTGTGCTAAACATCGTCAACGTAGATAATCCTGTATTTCAGGTACAGTTGGATGGTATATGGACAACGAATACAGTCAAATGGGCAATATGGAGCACTGACCATAAAGGAATTTACACTTCGTAACCAGAGTCACTACACATGTCGGGTGGACGATAATGAGGGCTATGACGTCTCCCCGGTGGTGTCTCTGGTCCTAGCGCGTGAGAGCTTTGATTATGATATGTTATTGACCTTTTTCACCTACCCTGGAACAAGGGTATTGTGTTGTGTTGTCTTGTGTTTGTTACAATCGAGCCCCTTAGTCCAGGAATGTAGTTCCGACTTTCACGGATGACATCAGCTCCACTTTCAGGGCGTTCAACTCAGTTTAGTGCATTTGAGAATGATACACTGACTTTAACAACAAATATATGTTTACAAAAATGCCAAAGTTTTGTATTCGAAAGTTCAAGCTTTCGAAAATATATTCAACAGCCACATAAAAAGCAATGTAAAAAAATTAACTGTACACTGATTTGCCATCGCAAGGAAGCTAAACCATTAAATGTATTGAGATTAGATTGAGCGTTGTGTGGAAACAAGTGAAACAGGACAGTTTATGCATGTATTTCCGAGAAATGTGTATTTCTCGTTGTGACGTTGAAGTTAAACAGCCTCACTGGTAGTTTTTCAAGGTGTGATATTAAACATGTCTAAAATATTCAATCGACATTCACTTTATCAGATTATACTTAAACAACAAACAACATATTAATTTGTTCTGGAATAGTGTTCAAAGGCTTTGACCATGTGAGGCCGTTTTATTGTAGATAGTCATTTTGGAGACATAAATGCGAGCGAAGTCCACTCGCATTCTTTCGCATTTAATTTCGCAAAATTTACAGTATATGATAGAACTGCCATTGCCTACACATAGATTTCCATATCTAAACGTAAAATATAAAACGTCTAGAATTATGTAACACGTCAAGGTCATTCGCATCTATGTAGTGTCTGAAAAACTATATTATATTCTTCATGGTCACATCATCACAATAATGTAAGCGAATGCATTGTTGCACTACATGTACATTTTAGGACTGGAGCAGAAATGGAATGTTCCGGTGAGAAACGTGACGAAGCCTGAGATGCGTCCTATGTCACTAACCTGTAATCATCCCCCCTTCTGTGCTCCCCCAGGGAAGTTCAATTGGTTTAAAATTGAAGGAAAGACACCAAGCCAGGTCATGATCAACAAGAGGATTATGATTGACAATAACGGTATTTCACTTGAAATGAATGTGTTTTTCGCACCCACAGTTAATGTATCGACATGAGCGCGTAATATGAAATAATCATAACTTTCCATTTATGTCTTCATTTTATTATATCGAAATAACAGGCATAAATCAAATATTTATTAAGTATGTAATCCAACGGGAAATGTTTTCTAAACTTCCCAGGCCAAAATCGCATATTGGGAAAGGTGGGTCACTCAAATTACAAAGTGGAGCTAACTTGTTGTTGCCAAAACAGCCGTTAGTCACGCTGCCCGTTTCGGGAAGGAATAATAAAGTTCTGCTGTAGTTTCTACACATTTGTACATTCCAATGGAACTAAAACGCAGGAAACATACTTTATCTTGACAAAATAGTAATTGATTATACAGTTTTAGTTTCGAATGTGGGCCCACCTTGCACTTTCGATTAGACAAGCACAGTTAGCTTCCTTCGCGATCCACAGATAAAGCGGTGTCGGTCTACCATATGACACATGACAGAGATAAATGTGAGAGCGAAAATGCTAAAGAAATACATTTGTTGTGATTGCAAGTACCTGATCATCGTGCTCAATCATTATCATCTGATTTGGGAAATGCAACCTGAACGCGGTGGTAGGATAGTGATGTAAGGGAGGTAACTCTAAACCTGGAAGTATTTCTATAAATAGAACACAATGTTAACGGAGTTTGGAATGGTTGTGCGAGTGTTGTGATGATGTCATCATAGTTATACCGTTGTGTTGTCAGTTATGGTTTTGATCTGAACAAGTAAACATCGTTTGAGTTTACCGGCGACTTGAGTCTTCTTTCAATTATAGATATCCAATTTGATACACATGTATATGATTGATCATGAGGATTCGACTTCTACCAGATACAGTTTGATTTTCGACACTTAATCAGATTCACTTTATCGGATAATTGAGACTGGTGATTTTCCGGCGTTGACGTTTTATATGATCTTTGAAATAAAGGGATAGTTTATTTTTGTATATGCACAATTCAATCTTTTGGTCTTTCGTGTCTCGAGTTATACATGAAGCTAACATCTAATAAGCCTATCAGCATTGAGGCTTCTAAATTGTGAGTAGCATTGAGCTAAGCATTCAGAGCAACTTATCCGATTCTGTATCTTGAAAACCAACACGGGAAGTTCCGATTGGAGCATAGTAACGACCGCTCAACATTTTTCGCCCTTGTTTCAGTCGTATCTTTCAATCAGTTAGTCTAATTCTCCGCCCCAAAACATTAGGGGCCCATCAAATTTGCAAAATTACATTGCTGCAAAGTTTTTTCAGAAACAAAATATTTTGGCTCAATAAAGCTGATATCTGAGTGACTATTATACCTGAGTATGGTTCACATTGATTGGGAGCACGCGACCTTCTATGCACTTTTTGAAAAAAAATCTTCATGGGGAGAATTGTGTCGAATTGGAATGAGAGATCTGATTGAATTAGATTGGTAGTACGCGTTTGTTCCACTTATCGTAGGTGGTATTGGACCCAGGACCACATAATGAATGAATAAACAACAAAACGCCCGTCATCTTAACTAACAAGTTACTAAGATTGGCCATGATTTGTTCTATTCCAGGAACACTTCATTTTGCATTTGTTGAAGAAAAGGATGATGGTATATATCGGTGTGGCATCCACAATACCGTTATGGATAAAACCAAATTAGGAAGCCAAGTGAATGTCACCGTCCGAGCACGTCCAGATGTTCGAGAGATTATAAATCTGACTGGTAGGTAGTGACTTCTTTTCTTACTCTACACATGCAAAGGAGGAAATATTTGCAGTTATAATTACACACATTGTACGATTCCGACTACATGCTCAAGTGTACCTCACACGTTGTGGCATGAAGATACGAAGGGCTTGAGCTGCAGGAATATTGCTCGACATAGAGGGAAAGTTGACTATTGGACAGTTGAAGTCATCCCTTCTGTCGTACAGTCTTGCGTAGAGTGTTTTGTCACTCTGAAAAGGAATAAAATATGAAACTCACAGTCTCACGGGTCTCCTCTAATTCTTATGCTGGTGCGAAAATGAAGTGGAGGGTCATTGGCCCTTAAATGGTTTTTGAACGATACCAGATCATCGATATACCTGAAGCTTAAGTCAAACTTCTTGGCCAAATAACCATATTTTGACTTTGCCAATCCGAGCAGAAATTCTGATTCATATGCATAAAGAAACAGAGAGCAAGAATGGGGGGGGGGGGGGGGGGGGGGGGCGCATTTGTGCCCATAGTAGGCTCGAAGCTGAAGAGTAAATGTTAAGTGTATAGTGGAATCATCAGTGCTATTATTTAAGAGAATGTAAGAGGAATTATTTACATGTATTCATCATTTTGTTTAGGTGGAATCTCACCAAGAGTCATCTCGTACAGCGCCACGACGACTGTTGTATTAGGATCAGAAGCCAAGTTGGAATGCATTTTCGGCGGGAAGTGAGTAACGAAGACAGGAACAATGCCCCCCCCCCCCCCCCCCCCCCCTAATATATAACCAGTATCTAGTATATGATAATTGCAAAATTTAATCACACTCGGCTAATAATCTCTATAATATATCACGACTGTACTCATACTTTCTGTCATGTATATTCAGGCCCATTCCTACGGTAACGTGGACTCGTAATGGACAAAACACCAAAGAGTATCTGAAAACCCAGCTCAATGGTGGAGCTCTGACAATACAGAGGGTGCGTGAAAGCGATGGAGGGAATTACACGTGTTCAGGCATTAATTCCAAAGGAAAAACGTCCAAATCAATTCAAGTAAACGTTGTTTGTGAGTACTGTTGCGATACATTGTTATTAACGATGATGCTATACCACTGTCCGTCATATTTTGATTTCCATTAAAACTACAAGCTCTTTACTTTGCAAAGAGGCATCCATCACTGAAATTGTTTTTCATTCAAATGAAACATGCAAAAGGTATGGTCAAAGTCTGCTTGTAAAACATCACGCTCGTATGTATGTATATTTATACAGTGATAGTTGTTTCAGTAAACTGCAATACGCAGAATATGAACATGTCATTCATCGGTATTCATGTACATGCAACCGGGTTTGTGGGGCGGAAATAGAAACTCCAACACAGGCTATGGGTGTAACTCTGTATTGCCATGGAGGATATACTAGTATATTGACACACTGTAATGCACAAAATAGTATCATCATAACAACATACATGTACATATTCATACGGGAAATCAGATTCTGAATCAATGAAGTATAAACTCATTGTCATCATTACGTAAGTAAATAAACAATTCAAGGGAGGAGACTCGATCCCAATATTAAATATAGGTAATACCATGAACATAGTCCAGATTGACTGGTACATTATATATATTTTAAATACACTTAACACTTCATGGTAATTATTAAAATAATTACAGTAACTAATAATACTCTTGTCACGATACATTGGTTACATTATATATAAAAAGACATAGCAAACATGTAAATTAACCGTATACCGTGGGTGGCACTACTGTGATACTCCTATAAAGGCAGCCGCCCTCCAATAGTTGTTTCCGTGTGCGACAGACGCCAAAGTTAATTATATACACGCAGAAAGTGCACGTTATATCTCCAAATATAGATGGATAGAAAGTTGTTGCTCTCCACAGCATTTGGCGTGGACACCCCACCTGACGTATCCTCCCAAGCGCGCGCACACCATGAGAGGCTTCAGCGTACCGGGTTGGGGATTTCTCCCTCCAGATTTCTTACAGCTCTGAGACCTCCACACTCTCACCATCGTCTTTCATCAGAATGAGGCCTCTGGACAAAGCCCCGGCTAAGTCCAAGCCTAAGGAGAAACCGTCTCCTTCTGCTCCACGCCCGGCGCAGAAAGCTCAACAGAAGAAGAGCTCGAGTAAGACCGTTAAACAGAAGAGCTCGAGGAAGACAACTTCAGTCTCGAGGTAACCCTTCCTCTAACCCCCAGCCCCCAGTCGCAGCAAAGGAACTCGCCCCCCTCGAATCCAGAGGGGAGGCGCCCTTTCGTTCGCCTGAGGGCACCGGCCATGGGAGAAAGAAGAGGAAGAGGAGAGAGATCTCATCTCCCGAAGCTTTCTCTCCCCCGACCCCGACCCCGACCAAGTCCACTGAATTGGAGACCGCCACACCAACAGGACCGCTTCTCAGCGACATCACCACCCAGACCACGCCCGTCGAGGACCCAGCTGAGATGTAGGATCCCCGTACCGACTTGACCCGGATTGCTGACCAGATCAAAACAAGCCCTGCGTATATCTCCAACACAGACGCCCAGCAGACCAGCGACGAGGAAGAGTGCACAGCCAGGAAGCTCCTGGCCGGCTTACTCGTCTAAGTCACTCCCAAGGCTTCTGTTCTACACACGCTCGCCAGCTGACGCCGTGCCATCAACCGCTTGACCCCACCCCCACCAACCCAAGCTCACTAAACCAAGCCCACGTTTTCCCATTTTATCATATGTTTCTATTACACCCCCTCCGCACCCGTCCCAAACCCCACCAATCTAGCTTTTTTAGATTAATCCCGTAAATTACTTTATATTTGTTTGGGTCAGCACTTCTTATCGTATTCTTTACGCTTTTTTTTCACCCAGTAATATACATGTGGTGCAACCCCTTTGCGAAATACGCAGTGATGTAACCCTTCATCACCAGAATGCTGAAAGCACATGTTAAATCTCTAATTTACTTACTTACTTACGTTGTAGCTACAGAGCTCGCAGCTGCACCTATAATTATATACACAGACCGAGAAACAAATACATGGCATAAGATAAAAGTAGGGGTTTTACTACTATGCAATAATTGACATTGATAAAACAGGAATAACATGACAGTAGAACATTATTACCATGCCGTAATTGACATTGATAAAAATCTGGTATTAACACAATTACTAAATATAAACACGTCCCATTTTAATTCTGGAAACCCAAAAGTCCAGAAACTCGCCCATGGGCGAGAATATTTTCCATTAAACAAAACTTATGTGTTTGTTTCGCAAATATATTTTAATGCATTCCTTTACGTATCATGACACAAAATTTAACTCATTTTAACTTAATTCAACGATTTTACAAAGCGATATTGAAATATTTCGCCCATGGGCGAGAAAAGTCTTGGCCCATGGGCGAGAATATTTTCCTTAACACAAAAATCATGTTTTTGTTTCGCCAATACTTAACTTGTATTCAATCAAGTATCATGACACAAAATTTAACTCATTTCAACGATTTAATTCAACGATTTTATTGTGATATTGAAATATTTCGCCCATGGGCGAGAAAATGGTTTGGCCCATGGGCGAGCATATTTTCCTTTGCTCAACAGTTTTAGTTTCGCAAGTACATTAAGGGATTATAAGCATGACACAAGATTCAACTCATTTTAACTTAATTCAACTAATTTTTGGCGTTATTAAAAATATTTAGCCCATGTTTTCGTCAGTCCCTTTAAAGAATTAACTAATTGTTTTCAAAGTATATTGTATCATGTGAAACACACTTTGTATCATTACATTACTATTTTAAAAGGGCCTTTGGTTGGATGTTTCCCCTGCAGAAGTTTTACAAATTTCACCTTTTTTACATATTGCAACGATCTTTAATGAACCCGGCCTTATCTCTCAAAACATTTTGACAGTTTATCATACAAATCCATGCGCGTGTACACCAATTTATTGGCATTATTTTTCAACAAATTAAAGTTTAGTTTGTTTCTTTTTCACTTCCCATTTTATGTCTCGTTAGTACATCACATTGGGAAATTAAGTGACAATAGACATACAATATACAGGTACACGTGCGCGTATTTTAATGGGGGAAAACCCGATTCGTCTTTCATTGCATAACGTCTAGCTGAATATCTCACATTCTAACTAAATCTCGAAATAATTATTTCATTATATGCGGTGCGATGTTTACAGGCGATTGAGTGAATATTATGACACTAAAGCAACTTTTAAATGCATTGTCACTTTTGGTATGAAAATGGTAACAGTTCAGAAAAAAACAGCCTTCTTATGATAATTCTCATATTCTCATTAGTACGTTGTATCTAATTACAGTGTCGGCATTATTCACAGGTGATTCTACAATACCTGCTCTCGGTCAATTACGATCTACCACACCACGCGCGAATAAACAGTTATGCAGGTGTTGCTGTGGGCAAATACCTAGCCTTTATATGTATATTTTTTTTTTCGATACATGTATTACATATTTTCGTTGATATGTGGATACATTAAGCACAAAGACTAAAAAAACGGTTTATGAAAGATGAATTAGTGCCTTGATATATTCAACGAGATGTGTATCATCGTTTTAGGGGTCATTCAATAAAAGTATGTTTGGAGGAGATATCAAAGGAGCCGCCCAATATACACAGTGTCGTCCGGTGTACTACCACCCCACCCTGTCCGTAAGAGTTATGTAATCGGTACACAAATTTGATGCGGTGTCAGTGTGGAAGGAGTTTGAATTACGTCCGCCGCTGGCCACAGAGTTAATCCTTGATAAAAAAAAGTAAATACGTCAACTGGGAATTCAACTGGATGTTACCTTCCTTATATCAGGTAACCGTCCTGGGCAACAATGCAGTTTACCGGGCGCAGCCCGAGCTCTACCATCCGCTCAATTACCGCGCTATAGTGCGACCGCTGTCTCGTTATACCGTTACCGTGTCCCACGCTCTGGTGACTCTCGCTTCACGATCCAACACCCCTTTTCGGTCTTAGGGAAACTTACACATCTTTACGATCAATCACCCGTTCTCGATCTTAGGGAAACTTACACGTCTGGTAGAGCGTCGGCTAATTAACGCATTAATTAGCAGACCGGTGAGCCGGCGAAGCGCGTTCGAGGCCCCACAGCGCTAATTGGATCTGAAAAAGTGCGCCCGGTAAAGTGCGCTACTCCCCTTGACTACAGGAGATCTACAACATGTAGCGGATCTAACTGCAATTCTTGTTTTAATCAAGCCCGGGTTTGACATTCCAGTAACTGGATTCAGGTTGATTGCAAGATATGCATACCTCGTCATAGTGATTGTTGTGAATTCGTCAAAGTTTTGTTTGTTTGTTAGTTGTTTAACGCCGCACTTAGCAATATTTCAGCTATTTTACGGCGGTCTGTAAATAATCGAGTCTGGCCCAGACAATCCAGTGATTGACATCAAGTGCATCGATCCACGCAATTGGGATACGGTGACATGCATCAACCAGGTCAGCGAACCTGACCACCCGATCACGGTAGTAGCCTCTTACGACAAGCGCTGTCGCCCTTTACGCCAAGAATGGTTTTTTGAAGATCTGTTCTACCCCGGATCGTCACGGGTCCATTGACGCAGGGATTTGCGTAAAGTCATTCCGACAGCATACAATGCCTATTCGAGAGAGAATTAGGAGATTTTACGACCGCTTCAGCCGTCGGCTATTTCGCAGTCGGGGAAGGTGGGGAAGAAATAATAAATATAACAATAAAGTTAAACACCATTCCCAAAAAACTATAAAGGAGGGGTATAAGACCTAGTAAGAGGGGGGTAAAGAGAGAGAGTTATACTTAGCAGCTAAAGTAGTCCTAGTTTGTACAGCATATGGTGATAAAAGTTACAGTTAAGCTGTAATTTAGAGATAAGGGGTTGTATAAATAAAGAAAAATGGGATAAAGCCTAAGGTAAGTCTAGAATAGCTGGGGTAGGGGAGGGGGGGTGGAGAGAGAGCTTGGTCGGTGTTGTGCATCTCGCTGGGCTTGGGTATAGGAGTTGTATGGATAACTGGTAA